CTCACGAAATACAGCGGTGAAACCAATCCCGAACTTTGGTTGGCCGACTATCGCCTAGCTTGTCAGCTAGGTGGCGCGAACGATGACCGGCTCATCATCCGCAACCTCCTGTTGTTCCTGTCAGACTTGGCGCGAGCCTGGCTCGAACACCTCCCTGCCTCGCAGATCCACGACTGGCGCGACTTGGTCAGGGTCTTTGTCGGGAATTTTTAGGGCACATACGTGCGCCCAGGGAACTCCTGGGACCTCAAAAGTTGTCGCCAGGCGCTGGACGAGTCTCTCCGAGACTTCATCCGATGCTTTTTCAAGAAATGCACCGAGCTGCCAAGCGTCGGCGACTCAGAAATTGTCCAAGCCTTCCTTTCTGGTACCACCTGCCGAGACCTGGTCCGAGAGTTGGGCCGGAACGTGCCAACCTCGGCGGCCGTACTGCTCGACGTTGCCACCAACTTTGCCTCAGGTGAAGAGGCCGTTGGGACCATCTTCCCCGACAACGACACCAAGGGGAAGCGGAAGGACGAGGCCCCCGGGGCCTCGGCTTCCCACCTCCCCAAGAAGAAGGATCATCAGGGGAACTAGGGGGTCCTCGGGGCCAGTCTGGTCGCGGCCGCAGAACGCAAGAATCCCTGAGGCCCCAGGGGCCCCGGGCTCTTCGACGACATGCTTAAGAAACCTTGCCCATACCACCAGTTCCCGGTGAAGCATGCCCTCGAAGAGTGCACCATGCTCTGGCGCTACTACGCCAAGCTCGGGCTCCCTGACGATGACGCCAAGAGAAAGGGTGCCGACGATAGGGACGACGACAAGGACGACGGGTTCCCCGAGGTGCGCAACGCCTTCATGATCTTTGGCGGGCCTTCGGCGTGTCTCTCAACACACCAGCGAAAGAGGGAGCGCCGGGAGGTCTTCTCAGTAAAGGTGGCCGCTCCCCGGTACCTTAACTGGTCTCGGGAGGTGATCACCTTTGACCGGGACGACCATCCCGATTATGTCCCGAACCCCGGGCAATACCCGCTTGTCGTCAACCCCATCATCGGTAACACCCGGCTCACCAAAGTACTAATGGACGGGGGCAGCGGCCTCAACATCCTATACGCCAACACCCTAGAGCTCCTGGAGCTCGACCAGTCGCAGCTCCGGGGTGATGCCGCGCCTTTCCACAGCATTGTGCCGGGAAAGCGTACGCGGCCCCTCGGGCGCATCGACCTGCCCGTCTGCTTCGGTACTCCCTCCAACTACCGCAAGGAGGTGCTCACCTTCGAGGTGGTTGGGTTCAAGGGAACCTACCACGCCATCTTGGGGCGGCCGTGCTATGCCAAGTTCATGGCGGTCCCCAACTACACATACCTCAAGCTCAAGATGCCGGGCCCCAACGGCATCATCACTATCGAGTCGACGTACGAACATGCATACGACTACGACGTCGAGTGCATCGAGTACGCCGAGGCTATCGTAGACGCCGAGACCCTCATCATCAACCTCGACCAACTCGGTAGCGAGGTACCCGACTCCAAGCGTCATGCCAGGACTTTCGAGCCCACGGAGGCCGTGAAACTCATACCAGTCGACCTAGCCTGCCCTGATGATCGGGCGCTGAGGATCAGCGCCACCCTCGACATCAAATAGGAAGCCGTGCTCGTCGACTTTCTTCGCGCAAATGCCGACGTATTCGCGTGGAGCCCCTCGGACATGCCGGGCATACCGAGTGAGGTCGCTGAGCACACCTTAGACGTCTGGGCCGGCTCCAGGCCAGTGAAACAGCGCCTGCGCAGATTCGACGAGGAAAAGCGCAGAGCCATCGGCGAGGAGGTGCAAAAGCTTTTGGCGGCTGGGTTCATCAAAGAAGTGTCCCATCCAGAGTGGTTAGCTAATCCTGTATTAGTTAGGAAGAAAAATGGGAAATGAAGAATGTGTGTAGACTACACCGGTCTGAACAAAGCATGTCCAAAAGTCCCTTTCCCATTACCCTGAATCGACCAAATCGTTGACTCCACTGCAGGATGTGAGACCCTATCCTTCCTTGATGCGTACTCCGGTTACCATCAGATCAAGATGAAAGAGTCCGACCAGCTCGCGACCTCTTTCATCACACCATTCGGCATGTACTGCTACGTGATGATGCCGTTTGGCCTCAGAAATGCAGGGGCCACATACCAGCGATGCATGACCCATGTGTTTGGCAAGCACATCGGGCAGACCGTCGAGACCTACGTAGACGACATCGTGGTCAAGTCCAGGAAGGCCAGTGATCTCATTAGCGACTTGGAAATAGCCTTTGGGTGCCTCAGAGAAAAGAGCATCAGGCTCAATCCCGAGAAGTGTGTCTTCGGAGTCCCCCGAGGCATGCTCTTAGGATTCATAGTTTCGGAACGCGGCATCGAAGACAATCCGGAGAAGGTCTCGGCCGTAACCAACAATGTGGAAGTGAAATATGGAGGAAAAGAATGTGCATTGTCCCAATCAAACGTTTACCAGCATTTCGAATTTTCCCTTGTCAAGAAGTACTTAACAACACTTCCATTTGATTCTTTGGATCTAACTTAGTTTATTTAATTAATTCTTTCAGGGCATTGGTCTCAAATAATTTAAATGGCACACTACCTGACGAGCTGGGGAAATTGACAAAACTTTGACAGAGGTGAGTTGTCTATTTGGTCGCTTTACATGTGTTCTACATAACCATCTATGTTTCATCACTTTTTAAACTGATAGCTATATGCATGACATAACTGAAAAATGCTATCCGTGTTTGAGTTACAGATACACGAGAGTTATTGTCTTCTATATGAAACTTGTACAAAGTGATGCTTGGGATCTTCTTTTCATTTTTGTTAGTTTTGCAGGCTGTATAGACTTTAGGTAGGTGACTCTCAAAAGTGTGCGCCCTGTGTCGTTTGGGCTGGTTTGACTTATAAGCCATAGCTGAAAGTACTGTTGGCTGGTTTGGTGTGAGAGAAAAATATTATTCGTTGGCTGATAAACCATGGCTTATAAGCCAAATACGACCGAGCGAACAGGCTGGTGGTGATCCGGAGCTTAAGACCTGTTTTGATTCATGGGGCTAAAGTTTAGCCCACCCCCTTTAGTTAGATTTTAGCCCTCATGTATCAAACAGGAGGGATAATAATAGGGGCTAAACTTTAGCCAACCCCTTTTTCCAGGGCTAAAGAGGACTAAAAGTGGTTCATTCATGACAAAAGACGCATATTACCCCCAACCACCTTTTTTTAGTCATGTACAAGAGTATTAATTAGGGGCAAATGGGTCATAGTAGGGTACATGTCTAATCTTTAGCCTCTGGATTCAAACAACCCTATGGATTAAACTTTAGTCTTTAACTTTAGTCCTTTCATTTTAAGGGCTAATCTTTAACTCAAGGCTAAAATTTAGCCTCATGGATCCAAACAGGGCCTTAGCCATGACTAGTATAATGCCCGTGCTAACGTAACAGTTTTATATAGAGAATGATCATAAAAACATCCAATTTGTTATTTTGTAATTTAACCTTTACCCAATTATTATATTGTAGCCTAAGTTACATTTGGCGTAAGTCCTTTATCATTTGTTGCACATCTTCAGGGATGTTGAAACATTCGTTTGCAGGACTCGTCAAAATGTCAGCTAAGAATTCCTTCCTCAGTGTAGATGATAGCTGCGCATGATATAGAATATAATATGTTAGTATTGTATGTAGTGTACGGAATATAGTTGGAGACTATATATGCTTACAGTGGTGATCCGTGGCAATCTTATGCCGTCCCACGACTTTATAAAATTATAGACAAGAAAGCCTCCCAATTTCCTGACGGAGAAGATCAGTTGTTTATTTGATGTACATAAATTAAATTACTGTTTTTTATAGAAAAGTTGAACCAAATTTTGCGACACTTACCAGTATTTATGACCCGAAACCTTTGTTACATATTTAGGGTATTTTCGCTCCCAGTAATAAATATTTTCGCTCCACCTAGAATTTGATAGTGCCATGGCGAGATTGAACATTCTAGCATTAGTGTGGAATGTAGATATATATGCCATTTTTTGATGATAACCCTTCAAACATGCATTATCTGGTAGCGGTTCAAGCGGATCCATAATATGCACAGTTTTGTTTTGCATGTCCAGTATGAATAAAATGTATAGTCTATTCTGATAATATGGTAGTAGAATCTAAAAACAAACACACAGACTGTAAGTGGTTCATAAATAAAATAAATAAATTCTTATAAAGTAGTACACTGACCATAACGTACCTGGCTACAATCTTGAATTTTGTAGTGCATGTGGTCATCTGTATGAGAGTTATGAAGTGGTTACGAACGCACGTGGTAAAATTAATATTATATATATATATATATATATATATTTAAAAACACAATGATTTATGGTCGACGTGAGGCGATACCTTCCCTGTGGAATTGCCTAGCTTCGTCGTCATCGCTATGATGTTCCATGTCTTCCCGGGGATCTGTTGCATGGGCAGCACGTGGTATGTTAAAAACTAACTCTTATGCGGTTATGTTTGTGTCATTAAAAAGCAACCCACCTTCTTCGTCATTAGATTCTTATATCTCGTTGTTTGCCGGCTGGAACAAGGTAGTGTCATATTCATCTACCCGATCGATGTTTGCATGTAACGTGCGAAGAGCTGGTGTCCCATCTGTATAGCAGTTATTATAGGTTAAAGTTATATAATTAACATCAGAAATTTACATATATGAAACTATGGATTGGAAGAAAAATGAATCAAGCAACCTGTGGGCTGGGCATTGCTGCTTGGAGTATGCTGAATGGACTGATGTGCAATATTTCTCCTGTCCCTTGTATAGCCTCGCATTTTATCCAATAATTCTTGTTTTATCGATTCTTCAAGATTGTTGTACCTTTCTCTATTTCTCCACAATTGATTGGCACTTGAACTGGATTCTGTTTAATCATTTGGTTGATATGGTGAGATATAAATAAATCGTAAAAATGGGAAAAAACATCATTAGTAGGTACTATAAAATTCCAGTTATTGTTTCACTTAGATCCTGAACCATCTGAGCAGACGACTCCATTGCGATATCTCCACATACTTGTTGCCTTGGTCTGATGTAGTTATCATTTCGACGCAACCATTCCGAAGCATCGCATGGGGTTTGATTTTCTTTGTCCTGAACCGAGGTTGGGCCAGTAAAAATTTCGGAAATCCCCGTCTGAAATGGTGATTCCTGCACTCCTTGAATTGACGTACATGGGGTCATATTAACGTCAATAGAATTCATGTTTGGGACGGAAAAATATCCTTCATTAATTGGTTGCAGAACGGCTGATGTCGTTGTCCCGTAAGTTGGATATTGCACTGCTGTTGAAGTAATAAGACAAGGTCAGTAAGTAATATTAATAATAAAAAGATAACAATCAGATGACCTACAAAGATCATTCTTTAGCACCTGGGTGATCTGGTGCATTAGGAGGTGCCGTTGTTTGTGCATTTCGCCGAGCACGGTAGTCCCGCTGGTACTCCCGCTGCCTCTTATTTCTCTCCTCCCTTTGCTCGCTTGTTTCTTGAGCCCTAATCCTAGCACGGTACTCACGTTGTTTTCTGTTCCTTTTCTCTCTCCTGCGTTGTTCTTCGCTGCAAGCTGTTGACATGGCCTTGTTTATTTATATACTTTTATAGATGATGGCTTATATAAAAAATATGAGTGTATGAAAATACCTGGAGTAGGTATGTTCGTTACATCGCTGAGCGCAGTGCGGCCTTCTCCTGGCGTCCCCATTTTGCCGTCAAGGGCTAGTAATAATAATATAATAGACATGTCCATTAGAACCATGATATATCTTGCCGCCAGTGGTTATTTGAATACTGACATCTGAACCGCCTAAATGCTAATCTGAACCTCTAAATGCTAATCTGAACCTCTGAATTTGAAGATGAAAAATTTTCCTACCGTACTTGCTACATCTCTGGACATCTGAACCGCCTCGGCAAGTGACCGATAGTACTTCGGAAAAAATCTGCATTTTGTAGTTTCATATATACTATGATCAAAAGTAAAGATAAAAAAATTCATGTACCCTATACACATCTATACATATATACGCAGTTAGGTGTATGCATGTGTTCAGATGCGATCTCAGAACAAAGACAGGAGCTGGGCATGGAATATATATACGGCGGCATGGATCCATCTCGGCGGCAACATGTTTGACGATCGAAGTATACAGGCGTACCTGATCTCCTCGCTCGCAACCACCTCGCCGACCACGCGTCCTCCTCGCGCGCGCGATCGTGCCAGCCGCGGGAGACGACAATCGCGGCAGGAGCGAGACGTATGCGACGGCGCCGGTGCACCCTGATCCTCGCTCGCGACAACCTCGGCGGCCGCGCGCGCGATCACCGCCTACTCGCCTCCTCCGCCGACCGCGCCAGGAGTAGCAGCGCCTCCTCCGCCTCCGTGCGTGTCTGGGAAGTTCTGTGATTTTTGGCGGCGTGGCGTTCATAATACTCGGTGGGGGCTGCATGACGTGGGTGTGGGGGAGAAAGAGGAGATTTGATACATTCAATACAGGCCCTCGATTGTGTAATGAGTAAGGAGAGAGAAGGCTTAGAGTGCATCTGGACGATTCGTTTGAAATGTGTTGTTTTCCTAGGTTCACTTTTTGGGGTGGACTTAGAGGGGACATCTCAGCGGAGGGTCGTTTTCTTGTGTGGACGTAGGAAAGAAAAGATGGTGCATTAGTAGGGTAGATGGGCTATTCCCCTTATTATTGCAGCTCAATGCTAAGCTCTCAATGCTCACGAATATCACACAGACTCTCTCCTACTTGTGTCATAACTTGGATATCTATGTATTAAATTAGTGAAACAATGAAGAGATACTTTGCCCAGCTATATATTTATGTTGCAAATCTGCAGGGTGCAATAAATACTTGATGATATTCCTTAATATTTTATAAACTCAAGGCAACTATAAGTTTCCAGTACACTATTTTCTTAGGCTGCATAAATAAACACTAAGATTAACTTTAGCTTTCACGGGATGTAGAACTCTATTGTATTAATATAAGGTGTTACCAGAGAACTGACTGCATGATCTTTATTGCTTGGCCGAGGAGCATAAATAATGTGCTTTGTGGTGACTTTTTTTTAAAAAAAAACTGCCACAATAAGTTACAACAAAAAGATATTTCCTCTGTAAACAACTCTTGTATCATGTGCTTTAGAACTGGTGCCAGATCTATGGTAAAATGTACTGTTATTCTGTTCCATTTTAAATGACTTTGTTTAAGTTTATTTTCATTTATTAGTGCATATACTGAATAATTCAACCGGTTTCAACACAAATGCACTCGAACATAGGTAGGCACACTCGAAGAATAATGGAGCTTGTTTCCAATGAATTTCTGCATAACTTTGTGACAAAATATTTGTGGTATATCCATAGAACTATGACCTCTATGAACTATGAAAGCATCTAGGCCCCTACTTGGGTTTCGGTGATTAATGACAATACGAGATTACTGTGACTAACGTGTGTTTTGCAGATGCAATTAAGTTAGGTCATGGTAAGGGAAATTGATTGGGCAATCATGGTTGTCATGCCCCTACGATGGAAATCGTTTCGGTTTTCAAAGGATGGACGACAAGGTTAAGGATGGACTAGTTCTAAGTGTCGTTTGGTGTTGAAGAGACACTTAGAATAGTATATGACTTTGTTTTTCCTTTGGTCGTACTATTAAGGGGGGTATGGACTGGTAGCTTGACCTAAGTGAGTCTAGTGGGTTAGGTGTGGTGCACACTTGTCCAATCTAGCACTAGGTAGCTCCTAAAAAGCCTTTAGATCAATTGGAACAAACTTCATTCACATATGATTACGAGTTGGAAGTGAATGGAGGGTCAAATGTTGACCGGACGCTGGTTCCGGTGTGACTGGACGCTGGTGCAGAGTCTGGTCAGTTCATTTGATCAAGGTGAAGTCGTCTGGATGCGACCGAACGCTACGAGGTGAGTGACCGGACGCTGGGTGTCAGAGTCCGGTCAACTCCAGTAAGGTTCCAGAGAGGGAGAATCCTGATCGAACGCATCCGGTCAGTGCTGACCGGACGCTTGTTAGGTTTCGGCTACTGACCGAACGCTGAGCAGCAATGTGACCGAACGCTGGATGCCAGAGTCCGATCAACATCAGTAAGGTTCTAGAGGGCAGTTTTCGTGGTCGGACGTGTCCGGTCGGTGCTGACCGGACGTTGGCCAGTGTCCGGTCACAACTTAAATTGTTGTGGCAGGTGAACTGACCGGAGCGTCCGGTCACCCCGTAGAGGCACATAACGGTTCGTTTTGAATGAGGGGTTATAAATACTTCCTCTATTCACTCAAGGGATCACTTTTGCTCATTCCAACAGCTAAGAAACACCCTTGAGAGTGCCAAGAAGAGCAAGGTCCTAGTGAGGCGATTGAGATTTGAGAATCCAAGAGAGAGACCTCATTAGTGAAAGCGAGAGTAGCAAAGTGTGCATCCACCCTTCTCATTAGGCTTGTCGTGGTCAAGTGAGAGTTCATGCTTGTTACTCTTGGTGATCACCATCACCTAGATGGCTTGGTGGTGATTGGGAGCTTGGTGATCATTCGGCGAAGCTTGTGGATGACCCAACTCAAGTTGTGAGCGGTTGTGGGTGATTCACCGCGACGGAGTGTTGAAGAATCAACCCGTAGAGAGCACTTGATCCTTGCGCGGATCAAGGGGGAGCTACACCCTTACGCGGGAGCTCCAACGAGGACTAGTGGAGAGTGGCGACTCTCCGATACCTTGGCAAAATATCACCGCGTTCCTCCTTCTCTCTTTACTTTCAGCATTTACTTTAAGCAATTCAATTCTTGTGTTTACATTCATAGAATTGCCATGCTATAGTAGAATTGGAACATAGGTTGCTAAACTTTTATGCGTTAGAACAATAGAAACACTTTCTAGGCACAAGGGGTGAAGTGGGCTAACCATAGGGTTTAATTATTGCAAAGAATTTTAGAATTAACCTAATTCACCCCCCCTCTTAGGCATCTTGATCCTTTCAATTGGTATCGGAGCCCCGTGCTCACGTATTTAGACTTAACCGTCTAGAGAAATATATCTCACATGGATGGTCCTCCTCCTATCTTTGAGGGGGTGATTTTCTAGAAAATCCGCATGGAGGCATATTTAGAAGCTCTATATGTTGGAATACTTAGAGCCGCCTCATAAAGATTCCCAAAACCTCGGGATCCCACGCACCTTTAAGGCGATGAAGTTAACTATGAGAAATGGAATGCAAAGGCTCAAAACACCATCTTTAGAGGCCTTTGCAAAGATGTGTTTAACCGGGTGAGGAACCACAAGGATGCCCATGCACTATGGTCGGATATTTGTGCGCTCCATGAGGGAACTAAGAGCGAGCGTGGGGAAAGCTATCATCTCATTATGAAAAAGCTTAATTCTTTTGAGATGCTTCCTAAAGAGAGTGCTAATGAAATGTACTCACGCTTGAATGTTCTTATAGAGGAAGTCAATGAGCTTGGACTCACTCAAATGCAACCATCCGATGTTGCAAGAAAAATTTTGAGTGTCCTCCCCATTGATAAATATGGGCATATTGTGACCTTGCTTCATCAAGGTGATCTTTCCACCGCTACACCGACTCAAATCTTGGGAAAGATCAATGCTAATGAGGTGTACATGCACATCACACCACAAGATGACTCATCCTCTACCAAGAAGAAAGACAAAAACTTAGCATTCAAGGCTAGCCAAGAGAAGGGCAAAGCAAGAATTGAGTATGAGAGCTCAAGTGATGATGAAGTTGACGATGCAAGTCTTGCTCTCATGGTGAGAAGAACCACCAAGATGCTAAAGAAGCTTAACAAGAGTGACATCAAGTTCGATGGCAAGAAAAAGAAGTTCTTCACTAGCACAAGAAGGAAGCCAATCTCTGAGATGAATTGCTACAATTATAGAGAACTTGGTCATCTAGCACATCAATGCACCAAACCCAAGAAAGACAAGTACAAGAACAAGTACAAGGGCAAGAAAGATGACTCTAGCAATGAAGATGAAGATGAGAAGAAAAAAAATAAGCCATACAAGAAGAAAGATGGCAAGAAGAAGGACTTCCACAAGAAAAGGAAGAATGGTAAGGCATACATCATCGGTGATTGGCTCACAGACATTGATTCATCAAGTTGCTCATCCGATGATGATAGTGATAATGAGAAGGTGGCCACCATTGTGATTGACTCTTCATCATCTTCACCGACACCACCGCCATCATCCTCTACACACCTATGCCTTATGGCCAAGGGTGAACGAAAGGTATCAAATGATGATGATAGTAGTGGTGATGATCATGCTAACAATGATGATAGTGATAGTGATAGTGATAGTGATGATAATGAATATGAATCACCTTCATACGATGATCTTGTTAAATTGCTAAATCAATATATTAAGATCATTAGAAAGACTAGAGCTAAGAATGACAAGCTAGAAGCTAAGAATGATTCTCTTTTAGCTAAATGTGATATAGCTGAAAAGGCTAGTGTTGAACTTAGAGAAACAAATGAAGCTATGTCATCCAAACTCAAGGAGCTCAAATCTTCTAAGAAAGAGCTTAAAGATAAACAT